TAAACGTGTGATCTCATACGAGTAATTAATTTGTACCATTATATGCCTAACTATATGTGAATGCCTGACTCGTACTACTTGTACACTTGATTACAAATTTAAGTATTCAAAATTTTATGGATGCTTCATTTATCGCGCCAAACTGTGACATCAGACAATCTTGCCATCTGATTGACTATCTGTAAGAACCATAACAGTAGAATGCCAACTTATTAAATTTTTCAATCGCTACTGTAATTATTATGACTACTGTTAAGGTGGCAGAATCGAGCAACATGATTGGTCGAAACTTTACCGTTGTTATTTCGGAAAATTTGTGTGGCCAATCTAATTCAGTCTGCGAATTTTCAAGTCAGAGCGAATGAAACATCTATACTTCATCGCATTCAAGTACTTCTAAACTCTTTAAGCCATTCGGTTGAAGCTTTCGCAGTTAATGCTGATAATAAATAATCAAGATGGCAGTGAAAGCATTGTAAACGCTAATGTATGTTCTAAATGTCTTAAAGAAAATTTTATATCCGGAATATTTTACTGATTAAAGTAACACGAATGATTATTAATAATACTTGATCTTTCCCGAATTTGATTAATACAAAAGCAAAATGACTGAAGAGACACAGCAACCTGAAACACCCGTGCAAAATGAAGCACAGGCTAGTTCTCCGGATGTTGGTAAACTCAGAGATAACAAGAAAGAGAAATGCCGGCCTATGACTAAGGTATTAATAAAAAAATGTTACAATCTGTTAATATTTTAAATATTTAAAATTTATATTATATACATATATATAACAATATATATTATATATATAATATGTGCACACACTCACACACACACAATGGATATTTATAATTTTAACAAAACATAATTTTTAATATTATCACTTAAAATATTTATCTTTTAACAAGTTAAATTAAATTTGTCAATTAGGTAGTGATTCGTCGACTTCCACCAACAATGACTCAAGACCAGTTCATTGAGCAAATTTCTCCTTTGCCTGAACATGACTATTTGTACTTTGTTAAAGCTGATATGTCACTTGGTCAATTTGCATTTTCCCGTGCTTATATTAACTTTATGGATCAACAAGATATATTTATGTTCAGAGAAAAATTTGATAATTATGTATTTGTTGACTCTAAAGGCACTGAATATTCAGCCGTAGTAGAATTTGCTCCTTTTCAAAGATTACCAAAGAAAAGAATTGGAAAGAAAAAAGATTTAAAATGTGGTACTGTGGAGTCAGATACATATTATATAAGTTTCTTAGAAAGTCTTAAAAATCAAGAAACTGATTCAACTATTGCCCAACCAAAAACAGAATATTCTTATCAGCCAGCAGACAGTGAGTAATTGATTCAATTATAGTTTACAAAAATGAATATTTTTTAATGTTATCTTCTCTGTAATTTATTTTATCATTATTTTTTGTAGATACATTAAAAAAAGTTACAACAACACCTCTTTTGGAATATTTAAAACAACGTAAACAAGAAAAGCAACGTCTCAGAGATGAAAAACGTGAAGAGAGGAGAAGGCGTGACTTGGAAAGACGGAGAACTAAAGAAGATCCAATTATATCTAAGGTGAATATACATTTGATATTACACTTGGATTATTGCTATTTCTTAAGTTATATTTTATTGCCTTTTAATTAATAGTTATATACAATACATATTGTTAAATATGTTATAACATGCAAAATTATGTGCTTTTGTTGGTTAAGTGAAGACAAATACAGTATAGAATATTATATACTTGATTGCATAATTTTTTAAATGAAAACAATAATGGAACTATTATATTAAACATAATTTTAGATCATAAAATATTTATACTTTGTTAAAATGATGTATTAATTCTATGTTCTTCACTGTATTTGCTCATTTAGACCTTCCCCTTCACAGCCTGTGTATAATATTGAAGATTTCTGCTCCAAGCATTGTTTTGTTACAACTTTATCATGTACAAACTTAGAAGCCATTCGTTTTGAAAACCAAATTAAAAATGAAAACGAAGTATTTCTATCTGAAGAAAAAAGTAATGATATTTTAAATAGTACTTTAAAAATCGAAAGTAAATTACATGCTTACAAAGAATTGAACTGCTGCAATAAATCTACAAATTTATATATAAAACCTAATAAAAGTGTATCACTTATTAAGAAATATATCAGAAATAATAATAAACAGTACAAATTTAACAATGGTTGTGATTTACATAAAGAAAGTTATATACACAATAATCCTGAATGGGACAGAGAGAAGTGTATTTATTATTGGCATAACACTAAAAATAATTACGTAGATAACAAGCATAAATTTAAATCTGGTCAATATATTGGAAAAAGTGAGTATTTCTCTATGTTTTCTGAAACACCATTTACAAATATACATAATATGTGGAAATTGCATATGACAAATGATACACTCCACTCAAGAAGCCATAATGCAGTGCATAATTGTGATAAATCATATAATTATAGAACTTGTAGAATAAGCTTACCTGGATTACGAAAAAATTCATGAATTTATAAACTGCAAATGAATGGTCAAGAAGAATATGCCATGTAATTGTACCTTCTATAAAGTGTCTATTTATGGGGAGCAAATTTCTTCCTTGAAAAATATTTTACTTTATGATCTTTTTGTAAGCTTATAGATTGTCTTTTAATATGTAATAAATTTATATACTCTTGATAAAACATAAAAGATTTATTGTTATATAATTTTTATACAATAAATTTTTCGAACTAAGTTATTTTAAAGAATGGTGATTGTGTTATTTTATTCTTATAATAATTATGATTTATAATTATACTATATTATAATGTAACTACATTTAAAATTAGTACAAGTAAATTAATCTTACATTATTTAAATTCAAGATAATCTTATATACATAAATAAAATTTATTGTAGGTGCTTAAGAATCCTGATTTGGATAAAGAAACAAACAAGGACAATAAAGAAAATAAAGATGAAAGAGATAAAGCATCACCGAAGGATTTAAAGAATCGCAATAAAAGAGACGAAAAATTGCGTGAAAAAGTACCTCGAGATAGAGATTTGAAACCTTTAACAAAAGGATATAGAGAAAGGATGGATGATAGAAATAAGGACAGAGATATAAAGCATCAAAGACGACATGAAGATAAAAAACTTTATGGAAGACGAGATGATAGAGACTTCCTTAAAGAAGACAGAAAAAATGATGTCAGAGATGATAGAAAATATGACATTAAAGAAGATCTCAAAGAATGTAAAGAACGAAGGATTGAAGAAAAAAGAGGTAAAAGCTATGAAAAAATGAGACTTGAAAAAAAAAGGTTGGCAGAAACTAAAAGGCATAATGTGGATCTTAATATTGATAATATCAATGTTACTTGTATAATGAAAGAAAATCAGGATGTTTCTCAAGAATTTACAGAAGAAGGATTAATTTCTTCTCTCTCTAAAGGAATAGTGGAAAAAATAATGGAAAGAAATAATGGAAAAAACAGTGGAAACATTAAATTAATTGAAAGTGAACAGAATATTGAATCTGTATTAGATCAAAATAAGGATACAGGTATCTTATAATTTTTCTGCATCTTTTCTTAACTGTTGTTACATTTTTATTATACTTATGTAATATTAAATATTAATGATATTATAAAATTTACGTGTATACATTATTTATAGAAACTAGTATTCGGAATGAAAAAGATGCAACTGAAAAATCAAGATCTAATGAACACATTAATAGAGAAACTGGTATTGAAACTGAGTCTGATGAAAAAAAAGAATCAAAACTTGTAAAAAGACGTAGTTCTCTAGAAAGTGGTGGTGAAGGAGGTACAGGGGACAATAATTGCTTGAGACGTCATAAGTCTTTAGATGGTGATGGACAAAGTAATTTACAAAAATCTGAAAATGAAGATAAAGAAAAAGATAAAAAAGATCCACGATTAGAACGTAGAATCCGAAACAAGGTATTTTCTGCATATTACAATTAAATAACTTTATGAAAGGATATTTTGTATTTAAAATAAAAAAAAAAAAAAAAAAAAAAAACTAGAAATTTATTTGATTATATGTATATTTTATTACTCTAGGATCGACCTGCCATGGAAATCTATAGACCAGGAATGGGAAAATTTAGTAAGCAGCGATTAGAAAGGGAAAAATCAACTAATGACGATCGGGCTTCCCTTTCACAAAGTCCAACTCCAAATACTACAACTTCCGCTGTTTCTAAATCTGCTAAATCTGGAGCAGAAGTTCGTTCTATGACATTTAAGCGTAGTGTTAGTCGTGATATCTCATAACATGTACTGAGCCACATTTATTAATATGTACGATCTATATTGTAAACAAATAGCATATATTTTACAAATAGCCAGATCAGGATAATATCATGTTTCAATTCCATATATTGCTCCTCCACATTTCATATTTGTATATTCAATTCCATGATATCAAATGCACAAATAATTTATTTTTTACATGATTTAATATTATTTCTCAGGAATTTTAAGTCATTTAATAATACGAATTTAATTTAAGTCATGATAATAGAGAGTTAATTCATCTCATACGCAAATATAATTTCGTTTCATTGATAAGTTTTATCGTTTACTTCTTCATTTTTTTTACGAATATTACAAAAAGGTACTTGGTATATTTACCTTTACATAAATAAACGTTCAATAAAAAAAGGAATAAACTAAAGTTATATCATTTAAAATAAATTTTTACATTAATTTTTTTTAAGAAATTCAACAAATATATAACACAATATGTCTTTTTTAAATTTCTTACCATCTTTACACTTATAAAAGCTGAATTTTGCACAGTAAACGTAAAGCAGAATTAAAAACTAAATTATTTTCCAATAAATTAAATTAATCTCAATAATTTCGTAATTATTGATATATTAATTTAAATATTGTTTCATTACACCTATATCCGTGCACGTATAAAAAATTAATGATATAATATTTTTTATCTTTATGATAATATTTATTCTTTAATGTTTTATCTTTATGATAATATTTATTCTTTAATCTTTTATCTTTATGATAATATTTTTTATGTATTATTATTATTATTTTTGTAATCGTGACGATCGGGTTGAAACTCGTTCTGTCATTTGTCTAGGTGTTCTTACTGGTGTTTTGTTTGACATTTTTACTGTTTTACTGGATTTATTTCTCTTTGGTAATGGAGACTGTGTAGTTGGAGTTGAGTTCATAACTTTTCGATAGCTTCTTAATCTCGTACTACCTAATGACGGAAATATTAAGAAATAATAGTATTTGATACTATAGTTACACTGTTTAAAACATTTTATTGATTAGAAAACACTTACTTCTATTCGATGTAACTTTTTGTTCACGGTCTTCATTATCTGATTCTGAACTGGAATCGGAGTTATCTTTGGAGACACGAATTTTCTTTCTAGTATGGCTTGCTGCAATGTACATAAAATATTTGAACATATTATATGTAAATTTTTTAATATAGATATAGTTGAAATATAATTCCTACGAGTGAGATTTTTTTTTGTTATAGGTTGTGAATCTATATCAGTATCAGAATAATTTTCGTCTTCTTCGCTATCCTTTTGTCTTCCCATACGAGACTTTTGTTGTAATAACGTTTTCGGTGGTGGCATCAAAATATTATCATTTGTTTCAGTGTTCTCAGACCCTTCTAATAACTCTTTTATTTTTTCTTCTAATTCCAAACATACAGATTTGGTATCAGATTTTTTCTTTGTTTGTTCTATTATACCTTGAAGTGTTTTTAATACTTGTTTATGATGTATCTTGTCTTTTAAAAGAGGTAAACTTTCAATCAAACGTCTTATACCTGAAGCATAATATTAATTTTCTAATAGAAAGAAGAAATATAATATTAATTTTCTAAAACTATACATATTACATCATACTTACTTTTTACACTAAACGGTAAAATTGAAAGGCAATAAGAAAGATCACACCATTGTCTTTCTGTAGTAGCAAGTTTAAATCTCGCACAAATTTTTTCGATTATTGTATCAATTTGTTTTTTATGCTGTACCAAATTCAGAATAAAACTATAAAGTAAAAAAGAAAAAAAAATAGAATTAAAATTTCCATAATATTCACATGTATATACAGATCATAATACTTACCCAAAAATTTCTTGAAAATGGCTTTCATTAAGATTTATTTGCGGATCAGATAATCGTGATAATATATCAGGAATCACATTATAAAGAGCATAACCCCTTTGTGAAAGTTCTTTGAAAAAATGTTTAGTATCTTGTTGAATTTGAATATCTTCATCTATAATACAAAGAGCTAATTCTGATACCTGACCCTTAACGCGCACCATCTCTCTCATTATGAGATTAGATAGTACCCGAACACAAGTACTTCGTACGTGTTTATTTTCATCTCGAAGTCTGTAAATAAAATGTTATTTTCACTTACACTTTAACTAACGAGTAAAACAACTTAAAAAATTAATTAATAAATTAATTTTTAATTAATTACCTCCCATATATGTGTTTTGTCCATGGTTCTACTTGATTAGGAAATCTAGTTGTAAGATCACTTAGACCAATAAGAACATTAGCTCTGATTCCTGGATAAGGTGAACGTTCCAATATCGTAACCAATAATTGAAGATATGTTTCACAAAATACAGAACTTACTGTCATCATTTTACACAAAGCTAGTGTACCTGCAGCTTGTAAATTTTCATTACCATATTTCTCAGGATGTTGACATACATCTAATACAATGGGCCTATAAACAAATAATAATTATATTATTTAGTATTTGTGTTATTATTATAAAACATATGTACACAATGATAGTTATATCTAGGTGGCATACATACACAAATTTTGTAAGTAATCCATTACCAGTTACTATTTCAGATTCTAATGCAGTATTTATAAATTCAGCATCAGTATCATCTGCTGCACCTTCTAAAGCATCTTCTCCATTATCCTCTTGTAAATTCTATAAAACATTTGTTCTTATTAAATGAAAAAAACAAAAAAGAATATAAATATCAATAGAAAATAAATGTATCAAACCTCTTTATTACGTACACTCCTATTACTACTAGTTATAGTTACATTTTGTTTTGAATTGTCTTTATTTAAATTCTTATTCTTTTTTAGATCTCGTATATTATTTCTTCGTTTTAATTCCTTGTATATTTCTGTATCCAAGTGGACCATTTCTCTTATAGCAACATGTCCAACTATATGTAATAATTTTGATAATACAATGGAAGATATAACTATTGATTTATCATTTTCAGCAGTAAACTGCTCAATTTTGTAAGTATCCAATAAAAAATTCTTTATTAAATGTTGAGGTTGGTTAGCTAACTTAAATTATAAAATATATTTGAAAATTAAATATAAATAAAAAAAAAAAAGAAACAATAAAAAAATGATTGTGCCAAAACAAGACTCACCTTATATATTACATTAATCGCATCAGTAGCAAATGAAATATAGCCATTTTCTTTCAAATTACAAAAATTATCTTTTAAAAGTATAATAATTTCTTTGAACATATTGTGATTATTTGGATACCTATATAAGATGCATATAAAAAAAAAAAATTTCTATTTTAAATACTATATTTATTAATTAAACACTTTATTTTTTACCTAATAGGGGCAGCTTCAATATTCTGATTCTCTTGCTTAATTTTCTGTAAAGTTCTACAGATATCTCGAGCCAAAAGAAGATCATTTTTTGCCCGTGGTCCTAATCCAATTTTCACTAATACATCCAAATTTTCAACTATTACTCCACTCTCAGTCTGACCTATCATCATTATTAATATTAAAGCAGCTCTACTCTCTATTGGTGTTGTATCAGGTAATTTCATTGAAAATATTTCCCATAATACCTGTTTATAAACGTCATATAAGCACAAAAAATTCTCTTTTTAAAAATTTTCTTTTATATGACATACCTGTAATGTTTCTTCACTTATTTCTTTATTACTATACCATAATCTAATTAATTCTTCCAATGATGAACTTTGCCCAGGTTGAAGTTTTTTCACCAAATTAATTAACGACTTTACACAAGTAATAGCTCTTTGTCTAGCTGATTTTTGGGGCTCAGTGTTATCAAGATATATTTGCTTATACACCATAGCTAAATTGCGGCGTACTGATTGATCATTATGTAGTACTTGAAACAATGCTTTATTCACTGAAGCTGTTGCTCCTGTTACACCGAATTGACATGCTATGCCAAGTAAAGTACATGCTTCAACAGCATCACTAGATGTTGTAGAAAAAAGTAATGCTTCCACTAAAGGTATAGCATTTTTTAATTTTGTTGCAAATTCTAAAGAATTCTTTAACAGACAATTGTATTAATTAATCTCTTTAATCATTATATATGCATTAATTATGCAAAAAATACATTTTTTTACCTCTAAATAATTTATAAGTCGTTTTTGTGCTTTAATTTCTTCTTTTTGCTTTTTCTTTTCTTGTGATACGTTTTCTTTAGTTACTCTATCTTCTGATTCCATAAAAATTTTTAATAAAAAAGTAAATAAACATTCTTTTTTTGCCTCAGAAGAAAGGTTTTCTATTTTAGGAGTATCTTTCAATTTTGTACAGATTGTCCATAAATATGAGACAGCATCAAAAACTTTTCCATTTAATATTAACTGTCTTATTTTTTCAAATGCTAAGCTTGGATCAACATCATCATCTGTTTTTTCTTTATCATCTGCAATATAATATATACAAATCTTAAATTCTATAACATATAAATAAGAACAACATTGTTTTAACAAGGTATATGAAAATATTTACTCTCCCTATTTTCATCATCGCTTTCTATAATTTCTTTAATAGCTTCTTTTATATCTGGAAGTAAAGTATTCCAGAGTTCTAATCTTTCAATATCTCCAGGTTCACTATTACAGGCAAATAGTGTCTGTAATTCTTTTAATTTTATTTTTTCTCTCTCCACTGATTTAGAAAATTCTATCTCCTCTAACTATAATGTAAGAATATTAAAAATAAATCCATTTAGTTTTACATGTACTATCATCTTATAATCATCCAATTTGTTAATGAAATAACTTGTATTATATATCTGTATATTACTGACCTTAGCAGCAAAGGGATTACTTTGAAGTAATGTTCTTAATAATTGTAATGCCTGTTTTCGAACATTTGCACTTTTATCTTGCAATCGTGATATACAACCATTCAATAGTTTCCCTTGCATTGCTAAAGGTATGGCTCCTTCACAACTTAAATTTTGCCAAACATGCAGTACTTTAGATCTTACATATGCATTGCAATCCAATATATGGTCAAATAAGCTATTAAGACATTCATCTCGTTGTTCTTTTTGTTCTGGAGTAAGATCTTCATTTGTCAACATTGTTGGGACTATTGTGCCTATGATTCCAATGGCACAATTTCTCATAATATAATACTACAAATTTTAATTGAGTTTGAACTATTAATAAAACAATAAATTTAATATATTAAAATTTCAAAAATAATATATGCTTATTAAAAATCGTACTTCATTTGTAAGATATTCCAATATATTATTCATGATTGGTAACACAATATCAGGTTTCAAAGTAGCTATATTTTCCAAAAACGCAGATATATTGCGACTTTCTGCTTCTGCTGGTTCAGTTTGATCAAGTTCTTTTATTATTTGTTTTAAAAGACCATTACATCCACATTCAACATCCATGTATACAACACCAGTGGCCATATAAGCCGGCAATGTGTCAAACAATTTTACTAGCTATCATATTTATTTATTATTTAAATACCTTCTAAACTTTGAAATTAATAAATATAAAATATACATACCTGAACAATTCTTACAATACAAATTATACCATGGTTGTACTTTTTAATAAGAGTTCCCAAAATCTATTAAAAAATAAGAATATATTAACTTCTATAATCATGTTTATGAGTGTGATAACATAAAATATGAAAATAGTACAAACCTCAAAAATTGTTTGTCTTGTATGTTTCTGTTTGATATCCCTGCAGTGTTCTAATACATTATAACATATTTGTGATAATACTCTGAAAAAATATAAATATTATTAATAACATTTATATGGAACTACAGCTAAGAAGTTTTACAATAATATGCTATCTATTCTATTTTTTTCTTAATCTTACGTTACAAATGAATCTTCAACAATTGAAGGTTTCCAAATTTTTTGTAATGGCAATTGTAGCCATCGATATATAAGCTCTAATACTTTCTGTCGTTCATCGTCCCACTTATCTTCTTCATCAGTTTTTGCATTCTTTTTACGCTATGAAAATAAAAGGAATAAAACATCAGCATATTTAATACATACTTATATTATGTATTAATAAATGCGCAAATAAATAATATCTTTACAGAATTTTGTATGTTACTTGAATTTTTACTTATTTGTTCATTTATATGACAAATGAATTGTGAAACTAAATAAGCCAACATTTTATTGACACATAAGAGTTTCGGTCTTTCTTCTTCTTCTATTTCTTTCCCTTGATCAAAAATCTTTTCCAAATCTGTTACCAATATTTGTATCCCTGTTTTAACAAAATTTATTTAATGTACATTAATATTATTTAATATACATTAATATTGATTTAAATAATATTAATACAGACCTTTAAAAATTCTTCTAAAAGAAGTAAAAGCAAATTGTAATTCTATTTTATTGCCATGGACCAAAACAGCAAAAAATGTATCAAAACAAGTTAAAATAAAACTTGCTCCATCTGCTTGCAAAGTAATTCTAGAAGCTAGAATAATATTTATAACATTTATTAAATTTATTTAAAAACTTGAAAAGCTTTTATAAACAATTTATTATAAACAATTACTTACCATCTAAAGCTTTTGATACCATTCCCGGTGGAATAATTTTTTCTACAGAATACTGTCCAGCATGTGATGTTAAAAGTTCATCCTTGTTTAAAGGAATTATGAAATCTTTTATCATTTTTATATTTATTTTATATATTTCTTTGATTATCACAATTATGAAAATAGTTTATAGTAAATAGTGAATAATTCAGACGAAAACTGCTAACGTAAGTTTACCATAGATTGAGTTCACAATTCATAAACAATAAAGTTCGCTGTTTTTAACTGTCACTTTTCAATTTCACTGCTGACAATACATAGAAAACAACATTTATATTTCATGTCATGTAATATTAATATATATACGTTTCTATATTTAAATACATCCTATGTATGAAAAAGAATTATTTATGTTTAATTATTTAATATAAAAAATATCAAATTTTTACTATAATTAGCTAACTTTCAAAAAATATATTTTAACTAAAAGATGGTCAAACTGAATTATCACTGATTGCACAGAAGAAAACGGCGCGATGTCATTGAAAACAGAAGAAAAAATATTACGCGTAAATAATCAATTGTGTTATTTTTCAACAAATGGTAAATATTTAGCAATTGCATTTCAAGTAAATTTAATTCTAAAGGATGTAAAAACATGGAATACTGTGCAATCATTCATTTTCTCTGATATAATCGAGGTTAGTTCGAATAAATAAATTGCTAATAACTAGCCTTTTTTTCTTATTTTAAATATATATTTATTTTAGTACATAGAATGGGCTCCGAACAACGAATATATTTTATGTGCTAATATAACAAAAGCTGTTGTGCAAGTATATTCGTTAAATTATCCTCAATGGAAATATAAATTAATAGAAGGCAGTGCTGGTTTAGCAAGCATTACTTGGTCATCAAATAATAAGCATCTTCTTACTTTATCAGAACTCAATGTATGTCTAATACTTTTTTTAATTTTTACATTTTTACAAGTAATGATCAAGCTTAAAATTGAATATTGAAATGATTTCAAATTATTCATATTTTATTATATCTATTCCATACTGTCATGTCTAAAACAATTATTCCTTGATTATTTAGATTCAGGTATCTATATGGTCACTAGAAGATAATAGTGTATTACATATACCAAATTTGAAATCATCAGCATTTAATAAATTAATGTTTAGCCCAAATGGTGATCGATTAGCTGTGATAATAACAGACAATGGTAATGAAACAGTAGACATTTATAAAACTTTTAATTGGAAAATAAGCAGGGTAAGTAAAAAATTATATTTTTAATAGAATTATAGATCTTTATTTTTGAAAATATCAATATTATAAATCTTAACAGTATGGTCAGATCCACAGCTTGCCAATTGTAGTTTATTATACTGATTATTATCTTGAGGCCTAAAGGCAAGTCTCTTTACAGTTAAGTGATGAGCTTGTGCAGTATTATACATTATATATTTCTTCCACAGACAATCTTCTGTTTTTAATATAAGTTTATAAATTTCAATGTGACCTGTTTCATAGCCTACGGCTAGGATATAATACTCCTCTATTTTTAATGGGGCAAAAGAAAGTGCTGTAACTGATTGATTTTGTACATCTAAACTTGTTAATGGTACAATAGGTTTAACTTCCTTTACAGTTTCATCCCATATACCAATTTTACCATCTCGAGATCCAGTTACAAAATATAAAGAATCATGTGACCATGCACAACACCAAATTATACGAGAATGAAGATTATCACGTTTTGAGCTACATGCAACTAGGTTGTAAAAATTTTCATTGCATTCAAATAATGACCATCTTCTATCTCTAGATACAGATAATAAATATTTACCATTTGGTGAGAATGAAAGCTGTGTAACAGTCAGCTGATGAGATGATAGTTTTTGAATTTGTGACCATATTTTTGTATCCCATAATATTATAGTAGAATATTCGGGTGAAGTTGATCTACATGCTGTAGCTAACAATAATCCATCATATCTAGCAGCCATGGAAAATATTTCATATCCATGTCCATATAATTTTTGTAATTCTGGCCAAAGTGTATCTTGCATTAATTCTTCCTCTGTTAATGGATTGTAATCTTCATTCTTTAAACAGTTTTCATTTCTTTTAACTTCTGTATCAAATATTGCTTTATTTGTTAATCCAAGTGCCGGTACATTAGCACCTTCAGCTACCATATTTTCGAAGTCATCTGTATCTGCAATCTGTGTCAAACATTTTTTGAAATTTGATGGTGCAGTAAAAATACGTACTACTTTTTCTTCTGCCCCTGAAGCAAACATATAAGGCTTCAATATTGCTAAACATGCCATATTATATCCATGCACTTGTGGGCGGCCAATCTCATGCCACAATTCTGTTAAACCATCTTTATATGGCGCATGGATTCGTGTTGTTTGATCTGTACTAGTAGTGATGAGGAATCTGTTACATTAATAAGGATATTTTTATAATTTATATTATAAAAATCATTAAGAGACATTATCTATAGTACAAACCTTCCTTTGGGATCCCAACAAAGATCTACTACTTCCTCAAAATGTCCATTAGGTGCAAATCTTGGAATCCAATCTTTCGCTGAGTTAGTGTATTGCCATATATGAAAGGATCCATGATAACTATGTGCCAATATATTTAATCCATCCGGACTAAACTTGCATGTATAAAAACCTAAAGAATTTCCACCAACTTCACCAACTCTTACAGTTTCACACCATATTCCAGTAGCAGGATCTGGTTCCCATATAATCATTGATTTATCTAAAGAACATGATAATAATTTTGTTGAATTATGATTGATGCCATCTTGTTTTTTCACTGGATACCAATGTACACCATATATCCAGCCTTCATGACCACAAAGAACAGATTCCAAAGTAGTGTTATATTTTATTCCATTAACTTCAAATAAGTGTTTCTTTTGCTCAAGTATTTCTTCAATTGATTTTTCTTCTTTGTGTATAGAAATTTTCCATAAACGTATTGTGGCATCTTGTGAGCCAGTTGCTATTAAAATATTTCCTTCTATGTCTTTCGTAATATCTATACATCTAATCCAATCTTCGTGTCCAAGTAAAATTTGAGCTTTTTCAAAGTTTAAATCTGTAGTTTTTGAACTTTGAGTGTATAATTGAATTGAAGAATCATCTAAAGCTATTACTAGTAAAGAATAATTACTATATGGTAAATATGATATAAAAGCTTCTATAGGTAATTTTCTTCCAAATGTTAATGTTTGAAAACATACAACATTATTATCATCATTTCTTAGCCATAATTTTAAGTCTCCTGTACTTGAGCCAGTACAAATTAATAATTTATTGAAAGATGTATCATTAAATGTATTATTAAGGTATAAATAATTACTAAAAGTAACAATTTCACCCACATTTAAAATAGAAGTACATTCGAAAGAACCATGAAAATTACTCCAAATAATTGCAGTACCATCTGATGAACATGATAATATTTCTGTTTCTGGATCTTCATTTCCGAATTTAATCCATTGCACTGTATTAATTCGATTTTTGTGACCATAAAGTGTTTGCAAAACTTTACCAATTTTTGATACATCTGGATTATATATTGCCACTGCATTACATGCTGCATAACAAATTAATCTATTTCTTCCCCAATCAATTGAATGTGGAACACGATTGCAAGCACAAGATATATAGCAAGTTGTCATTTTCTATAATTATTTGGGAAAGGGGGGCTAAATATAAAAATAATTTACTGACATTAGTAAATAAAGTGTGTATAAATTTTAATAGAAATAATCGGAGGTTATAGTAGCAATTTAAAAGTCAATGATAACAATTCTATAAATAAATTATTCCCTAGGAAATGTATGCTAGAGACTTATGAAATTGGTAAGTTAGTTGAAACTACAATGGTTTTTCACTTGAATTCAAATTTAAATTAGTAATAGATTCCATAATTTTTATTATTATTATTATTATTATTATTATTATTATTATTATTATTATTTATTATTATTATTATTATTATTATTATTATTATTATTATTATTATTATTATTATTATTATTATTATTATTATTATTATTATTATAATTATTATAATTATTATAATTATTATAACTATTATAATTATTATAATTATTATTATTATTATACAATTGTCCAACTTAATATTTATTTCATTTATTAAGAATAAGTATTAATAAAAAGAGAAAATATTTTTTAGAAACTTATATGTGAACGTTTGAATAGTATCAGTGGCATATGTTGGTCTCCAGACAATGATTTATTGTGTATATGGTGTTCATTAAGCAATGAATCAAAATTAATTATATATTCTACTCTTAAGGAAAAAAATATTGGTGTGTTTTCTCCATTAAAGAACAAAAATATTTCTGATGTAGTATATGACAAAGTAAGAGAATTAAAAGGAATTGAAAATGTAAAATGGAGTGCCAGTGGTCAATTATTAGCAGTCATTGGATTTAATGAAGTGGTATATATATACACATATATACAAGAAAAATTTTATATTGTACTTGATTAAATCTTTCTTATAAAAATTTCATTCATAATAAATTTTTGATTTGTATATAGATTGTAGTTCTTAATCATGTAACATGGGATCCAATCCTACAATTATATTTGGAACCTGTTATTTCTGAAAATAACTACTTAAACAAAGTTTATAAAGAATGTGTCATTCAATCAAAAAATTCTGTTAAACCTTCTATCTTAAACAGCAAACATACATGTAAGTGATATATACTTAGTATATTATTTTCTTTGGAAAATGTTGAAATTAATAAATATGCTTTTAGTGGAAGAAGAAAGTGACCGACCATTGAATATTAAAATTGGAAAAATTGATAATAGTAATAAATTTTCAATTGCCAAAGTCGATATCATAGAATACAGTTCATGTGGTAGATATTTAGCTATAAAACATCAATTATATCCCAGTACATTATGGATATGGGATTTAGTTGCTGATTATATCGATTATTTATTACTTCAAAATACTATTACAGGTATGAGGTTCTTGAAACTAATTTACTCAGTGATTAAAATGTTAAACAATCAATGATATTTTTTATTACATTTATAGCCATAAAATGGAATCCAACACATGTTCATTTATTGGTTTTTTGTGAATGTGCATATATATTTGAATGGACACCGGATAAAGCAATATGTATACCCACACCAAACAGTATAACAGCCTTAAATGCTCATTGGCATTCTAATGGAAAAACATTTATACTATATGGTTATAATAAAGTTGCTATTTGTCAAATGGAAAATAAATTTTAATAATATACATGTATGTATCAACAATTATTTTTTTTAAATAATAAACTTTCACAAAATTTGTTAAAATTGTTTACTTTATATAATAGGATACATAGCGTTACTTAGTAAAATTAATTTTGAATTATACCAAACTTGCTTAACCTATTCATTAAATGATATCAACTAAATAAAGATATAGAATTATGTTGGTCATACTTTACAAAACAGTAACAGTAACCGTAACGTAACAGCTGCAAGATAACATTCCATAATATAGTGTTACTACGGCGAGTTTGATTTTATTTGTTGTGGTATATATTATAGGAATGAATTATTTGAAATATTTAAGAAATATTTTATAAGCTTTAAAAGTAAATTTATCAATTATTGTGACGTTGACAACTTCGTAATTTGATTGGCTGTCCATAAGAACCATAATAATGAACCAACATGAGTTTTTGACCGCTACTGTATGGTGGCCAAATCGAGTAACACAATTGGTCGAAATCTTACTATTACTGTTTTGAAAAGTATGTGTGATCAGCCTTAAGATATAAAATATTGTAGCGCATATACGTAGTGAAATTGATAATAATAGAAAATTTAATTTTATTTTCTTCATATATATTATAATTATATTAATAAAGATAAATTAAGTTAACTCTGAAATGATATCATGACATTCGATATTGAAGTCTAGATGGAAATGAAGTTGCTAGGGATTTATTTTATAATATCTGGAAGATGGTGATATTGCGTTGTCGATCTTTGTAATTATGTATGGAATGTTTCTAGATCATCTAGATCATCTAGAAACATCCATATGCATATATATATACATCTCTACTTAACTATTTAGTTACTGTGTAGTAAATGGTAAAAGTGAAAACAAGTAGTTACACTAATGAAAGCTAGTTTATTAACGTTGCATTGTTAAGCAAAAACGTTTTTTATTAATTTTTTATTGATTATTCTATAAATTTTATCATGAATAAAATTAAATACATATAAAAGTATTGTTTCAAAAAGAAGATAAATGTATATGTACAATAAGTTAAATTGTATAACGTTTCTTAACCTTAACATTATTAATTTTGCAACATATCAATATATTTAATTTGCATTTTAGCATTCATTATTAGTAAAATTGTGAAATTTGTAAAAACTGCTTTTTACTTTTATTAATAAATATATATTTCTTAGTATTTTTATATTATACAATTATTTATTACATTTTGCAAAAGTATCAAGAGATCATGTCTGCTAATAGTCCTCATACAGAAAAGGAATTAGATTTAAGTAATGCAGGACGAGGTGTATGGCTTGTTAAAGTTCCAAAATACATTGCCAATAAATGGGAAAAGGCACCCGGAAACATAGAAGTAGGAAAATTAAAAATAACTAAGTAAGATTATACAGATTAATTGAAATAAAATATATTATATGTTCTATTAAAATGATTAAACAGTTAGTTTATATTTTAAACATTAGAAATCCTGGTCAAAAAGCAGAAGTATCTCTCAGGCTATCAGAAGCTGTTTTAGCTTTAAAAGAACCAGGGGAAGAAGATATTCCGAAACAGCATAGACTTGATGTTACCACAGTAACTCGACAAATGTTAGGAGTCTTTTCGCATGTTACACGTAAGTACTTAAAATGTAATATTATTTTGCAAAATAGTTTTTATGCATTATTGCTAGAATAATTTTGGCTAAGAAATTTTTATATCACTTATTTTATTTATACTATAGCATCAGTTACATCTGATAGTATTGTTCCTGAAAGCGAAAAACTGTATATGGAAGGAAGAATAGTGCAAAAATTAGAGTGTCGTCCATATGGTATGTTTTATTTGTACAAAACATTTTGTACGAAGATAAATGTATGTTATGTTAGTATTAATTTAACATTAATTATTTATCAATTTAACATTATTTATTTATTTTTATTTTTTAGCTGATAATTGTTATATGAAACTAAAATTAGAAAGCATAAAAAAAGCATCTGTGCCACAAAGACAAGTTCAACAATTAGATAGGGTAGTGCACAATTTCAAACCTGTATCTGATCATAAACATAATGTAAGTATTTTTTATTTATTGTATTTCTAATAATGTGCAATATCATAAAAATATGATATATTTTATAGATTCAGTATGCTGAAAAGAAGAAAGCAGAAGGAAAGAAAATGAGAGATAATAAAGATGCAGTCTTAGATATGCTCTTTGCAGCATTTGAAAAACATCAGTATTATAACATCAGAGATCTTGTAAAAATTACAAGACAACCAATTGTAAATTATAAAATCAATTAATAATCCTAAAAATCTAAATTATTATAATGTAATTAATACATTCAATTTTAATGATTTTGTTTATATAAATTTTAGGTATATTTAAAAGAAATTCTTAATGAAGTATGTAACTACAACTTGAAAAATCCACATCGAAATATGTGGGAATTAAAACCAGAATATCGACATTATAAAGAAGAAGAAGAGAAATCCGCAGAAAATGATTCTAAAAAAACTAATGAATCCGATGATGATTAAGATAGTATCTGTGTATATAAATAATCCTATTTTTAAAAGACTATATTGCTAGAACTCTAAATATAAAAAAAAATATTTATTTTTCTAAATAAATAAAAACATTATTGAAGACTGATAAATTAAGATTCAATTATCCTACGTGTTTAGTTTGCATTTTTAATACAAATTACAATTAATGCGCATTTTCTAAAATTACGAATTGTTATTTTTATATCACATTTCGTGATTATGATAAAATGCAATCATGTTATTGTAGCAGTATATCATATTACACTATGAAGCAAATAGTAAATAAATTTTTTATAGTATACTATTATTAATTTCTAAGCATTCTACGAAAATTAATATAAAATATTACCAGAAAATATAATGAAAAGACATTTTAATGAGATAATGAAATTGCAATGGAAATATTCTTATATTATGTTTTTATGATTAATACAAACTGTACTTTATGATTTCTTATCTGAATAAATCTTTTTTATTTAAATAAGATCTTGATTTCCCTAGTTTTTCACTATAAATAACTTCGATAATCTAAGGCAATTTTATTTAGATAATTTATCTCAATGTAATTTCGGGAGAGTGCAATATAAATAGACAAAAATGTATTCATATCTTTTGTGACTTTTAATTTATTAATGTTTGTGTTAATTGACTTATATGATTAAATTTAATATATTATATGATACAAGATAGATTGTATAAACAATTGTGAAGATAAATATGTCAATTTAACCTCCTAAATTTTTAACGTAATCAATCAACGGTGTACAAATAAGAGCACAGACGTAAGATTTAATAATTTTCTATAAATTTTCTATAAATTTATAATTTATATTAAATTAAATGATTTTATTAAATAAAATGATTTAACTTCAAAAATGTAAGGTAATGCAGATAGCTAATGCATTACATATCATGTTTGTCTTTGTTTGATCATATTATTTTATTTAGAATTATGTTCAAATTGGTAATGAATTTAATTATTTAAATTTGACAATTGATATGAAAATACAATTTCTTTGTTCTTCATATAGTAACATATGGTCTAATTATATCTTCTGTAATTTCCCTTTATCAGTTAAACTTACATACGAATAATTAATATATTTATTTGAATATATTAATGTATCTAATATTTTTTATTTTTTTAGGAAATAAAATACTTTTTAAAGAAATATTTACATATTATTTTTTGATGGATCGGCTCAGGAAAATATGTGCCAAAAAGTATAATTTAAATTAATAATATAAAGATACATATAAATTTAATCATTAAAGTTTACCTTTCTTCATTAAAAAATTCTGTTCACTTTTTTAGACAGTCTGCTTATATTAATGATGACTTAGAAACACTTAAGGAAAAGAGAGAACGATGGAAAAGTATATATATAATTTATTTTACTATGTTTCTTATGTCTCTTGGATTCAGCATAGTTTTAACTGGAGTCTGGCCATATTTAGATAAGGTATAATTTAAAATAATAAACATTATAAAAACAAATATAGAAATATATTGGTTACTTTATACTTTTATTTCAGTTAGATCGCACAGCAGGGAAAGAATATATGGGTTATGTAGTAGCAGCTAATCCTTTAGGTCAAATGCTATTTTCTCCATTAATTGGTTGGTGGGGCAACAAAAGAGGATCTGTAAGAATGCCTCTTTTAGTTACATTATTCCTTTTTATCTGTGCATCAACAATGTATAGCATCCTAGAAATTCTACCAGGCGATAGAAAGGCTCTTATGGCTAGTGCTAGATTCCTCGTTGGAGTTAGTTCTGGTTAATGAATTTCAATTATTTATCTATCAATTATTTATTCTGTATCTATTAATACAGTTGAATAAAAAAAATGAACAATGAAAGTATAGGATTAATATCTTAAATCTGTTTGTATGTACTACTTTCATTATTCTAATAGAAGTTCTTGTGACTAGAATAAATACTAATCGATTTGATCAATTTTATTTTATATTATTTCTAGCTAACGTTGCAGTAGCTAGATCATATTTATCTGCAGCTACAAAACTTACAGAAAGAACTCAGGCAGTTTCTATGATTACTCTTGCACAGGTAATATTCTTGTACAACATATACACAAAATAATTCTCTTTATTAAAGTGTCATAATATTTATGTAATAAAAAATTGATGCCAATTAAAATTTTAGGTTTTAGGATTTGTAGTAGGACCTGGTTTACAAGCTGCTGTTACTCCACTTGGTGATAAAACTCTATATTTTCTAGGTTTACCATTTAATATGTATACAATGACTGGTTGGATAAATGTTGTAATGGGAATTATTAATTTCATTTTATTTTTACCATGGAGTTTTAAAGAGCATACAATTGCTATAAAAGAAGCTATGCGTAATGGTGGAAAAGCTACTGGTAAAAAATCATTTCTTTTTTTATGATATTACATATTCTCTTATTCTCTTATTATCTGTCTGTTTAACATAATTAATTTTTATTACTAAATATTATCTTATATTGTAGAAAAAGAAACATGGAAGGCAATAAAGTCTGATTATTTAGCAGCTTGGACATTAATCTGTGCTTTTTTTGTTTTGGTTTTTAATTTTGTTCTTATAGAAACGTAAGAAAATAATATTTATAATCTTCAGAGATATATATTTAAATGTTATGTACAATGATTCTTTGGTTTACTATTTCATTATATTTATACAATTTAGATTGGGTTCTCCTCTTACAATGGATCAATTTGCTTGGTCAAAAACTGAATCTTTATATTATTTGGGATTGTTAATGAGTATTGGTGGTGTGATAGCATGTATCACGTTTGTAATGATTGGACCTATTTGTAAAAGGTAAATTCTTTTTATAATATAAAAAAGCACATAGTAAAAGCACATAGTTTTTCTTATTTTATATTTTTGTATAATAACAGTATATTTTTATTAATATACATGAATTTGTTTCTGATTCAAACTAATCTTTCTTTTTTATTTTTAGATTTGCTGAAAGAAAAGTAATGCTATGGGGTGGTTTTCTATTTATGTTTATTGGACGACTATTTTGTATTCCATGGGGGCCTGATCCTCCAAAGATTGCTGATTTTGGATGTAACTTTTGATCAAATATATCAATTATTATTATAATTAATTTAAAGTTATATCTTATATAGCTTTGGAAACGTATTTTAATTTTTTTGTATATATTTTGTAGCTTTCAACAATATAACTACAAATGAGAATGGTTCAGAAATATTAGGATGTCAAAGTACTCAAGAATGGTGCAAATATACTCCACAATTAACTGTACTACAATTTATTATTGGATATAGTTTCACTAGTATAGGATATCCTATAGGAGTTACCTTAATACAAACTATATTTAGTAAAGTTCTTGGGCCACGACCACAAGGTGTTTGGATGGGATTAATGACAGGTGCTGGGTGCGCTTCTAGAGTTCTGGGACCAGTTTTTGTTAGCGTGATTTACACGCGCTTTGGAACATATCATACTTTTGGTATTACAGGAGTAATGTTATTAGCTTCCATGGTATGGTTACAAATAGTAAATACACGTTTAGTACCACCGACAATAATTAAAGTAAATAATATAGAAGAAGAACAAAAGCAAGATACTGTAATACCTTTAGTTCGTACTAAATCTAATATTGAAGAAACAAATGAAACGCACAAATGTGATATAATAAGTTATGATAAAAAGTAAATATTGTTATGAGAAAGCTAAAATTTGATTTGTGATATCATCTAGATATCTGGATATAAATAATATATATTTCAATTATACTTTCTCATATCAAAAAATTGAAATTGGAGACTAATAATATCAACAAATATTTTACTTGAACTCTACTATGTGCGTAAGTCCAACCAATCATAATAGATTATATATATATAAATATGATATTATTATGATATAAGAAGCAATATATTTTGATGCCTATTTACATTTTTTTATTATGCAATATAGTTTTTAGAAAAAAAATATGTACGATAAATGAAAGAAAGACTATCTATATATAATCATAGATATAATTTTACAAATTTTATTAATGATACCAACTAAACTATTAGAATACAGAAGTAACATAATTTTTTCTCTTTTTAGATATATTAAACCGAATATTATTTGAAAAATTATTAAATTATATATCATTTATTTGAAGCAATAACATTTACATTTTACAGTTAATAAAACATATAGTTTGAAACATATTCAAATATATTGAAAAAAATAAAGAAAATAAAATTCCTATGTAAACTATAAAATTATAATTCATTTAATATTCTGTCAACAGGATTGTTATTATTATTATAAGTAAAATTAATGAATATATTAGTAATTATAATATCTATACAATTATCTTGCCAACAAAACTAGCATATGAAATTCTAATGTACTTATATTAAATCTAATGTGATATTTGAATATATGATTAAAAGATATACATTTTGATCAAAGTTGGATAAAAGTATATATATATATATATATATATATATATATATATATATATATATAACTTTATATATAAATTATAAAAAGTAATATTATTTTAAGTAGTAATATATTACTTGAAACAACTATATGTAATAGCAATGCAATTTATATGAAACAATTTGTTATATATAAAAAGATAATTTTTGTTTATGTTGAAATATATTGTTTATATGAAACGTATTATTATTATGAAATAATATCGTGCGTACAAATTTTTTTTATGGAAAAAATAATTTTTACATGAATAATAATATTTTTAGAAAAATTGGATTATATTAAAATTATACAATAAAGTTTAAAAATATTATATATTATATATAAATACACATACATACATACACACACATAGTATAAACGTGCATGGGTATTTGTGTATGTGTGTATATATAATACATTATTTTAAGGCTGTTCACTATTTTTCGCTCGTAGTGTATGCAACTTCAGCAACAAGTATTGATAAAATATGAACTATAAGTGTAATAGGGAAATACTTTCTCCACTATGTGCTATTGTATCGGCGAATATTAGATTATATCCCTCTTTCGCGTAATATAAGGATTGAGTTAGTGTAACTGAAATTTTTGTATGTGGTAAAAATGGTAATGTATCTGACAAAGCAAGAAGAAAACCATATGTCATTATATTTTTCTAAAGATAGATTAATTGGAAAGTATTTGTAAATTGTATAGACTATATATTTTGTTTCTAGTTAATTATAAATAACTAAAGTGTATTAAAATAATCATTAGTTCGATATTACTTGTGATGAAATGCATAACATATATAATATAATTTTTAATTTCTTTGCATTTGGAATAATTCCGAAAATCTGAGCATAAGCTATTTACATATACAACCAAGCTGGTAGTCGCTACATCATGGAACAAACATTCCTCATTCAAGAGTGATATGAGAACTAGTAGTGAGGGTACGAGCTTCTTCTCTTTTGCCACAAATTTCGAGAGGCGCCACAATAGAAAACTTTTTCTTTGTAAAAAATGTCGAAAACAGCATTTACGCCAACAATGAGAACAAGTGTAATTCTTGACCAATTTTAATGAACAAGTTCTCACTTTAAAGAAGACAGTTTAATCTAGAGTGCCACTTTTCCGAATTTTTGAGAAATCTTTTTATTTGTGCATAAACTATTCTCGAAGGAATATCATTTTTTAACACGATTTGTTTCAAAGAAAAAACTTTTTCAAAAATTTGGGAAAGCGGGGTCCTAGATTAAACATGTGTCTTTAAAATGAGACCTTTTTCATTAAAATCGATCAAGTATTACGCTTTTTGTAATTGCTGGCGTAAACCATTATAAAAGCAGAGATGATGAACAGTCTTAATACTCGATTTTTTTCTATTGAAAAAAGGAGATCCGACCAAGATCATTCTCAAGAGTTCCACCCGAGAGTTGCACACAATAAATATTTTTTTGTTCTAAAAGAAAACAACCCGTCCAAAAATCCCATCCGAGAAAAACAAATAATTACATTAGAATAATCGTTTCAATTATTATAATTTCAGTAAGTAAAGAGGACTGTTCAAAAATTATACCTGTATTTATTGTTAGTGTAAATCATCATAAAATCAGGCGTAATGAACAGCCTTAAATAAAAAGTGGTTGAAAAAAAAACAAAACATGAATTATTCCTATTTTTTTATTGTGTGCAATAGTATTTATATGAATACAATGTATCAATTGCAAAAAGTATATTTTTGTCACATTTTATTACATTTGAAGACTTCTTCAGTATTTAAAAAATTTATAAATCAATATACATTTAATTTTTTTAAATTAAATCAATTAATTTAAATTTAATTTTTTAATTTCTTAATTGGCCAATTATATAATGTTATCTACTATTTCTTTATAATACAATAAACGTAAATATACAATACATAAAAGTAAAAAATCGTAAAACAAAATTCGATATAAATGGCTCTTCGTTTCGATAAAATCAAATTATGCTTATCATTCCAGATTTCTAATGATCTCTAATCCATATTTATAAAGTAAAAAATCAAAGCACACATGCATCTTATAAATAAAATTTACAGCTATAATTAGTCTTTCTTCTTTGGTTTTTTGGGATTACGTGATCGAGACTTAGCTTTACAAAGAGGACAAATTGGTGCATTTCTATGGATTTGTTGATGACATGAAAGGCATGATTTCATTGGTGGTGGTTGTTGCCTAAAATAAAATTATAAAAAATACATTTATATTTTCATGAAAATTTACTTAATTATACATATATGTAAATATAAAAATATATTATAGATTAAATTGGAGATATACCAGTGGTACCTGAATGTTGGAGCAGGTGGACCAGGAGCAGGGGGCAATGGTCTAGGCTCTGGCTTACTAGGTCCTTGAAGAGGTTGAGGAGCGAGAAAAGAAGCTGAACCACCTGGATGTCCAGGATGATGTAAACTATGTGGAGGTAATAAATCTTCTCCACGAACTTCTACTCTCCATTCTGCTTTTTGCATTGGCCTTTCGAAGTAACTGCAAATAAACCGTCTACACGATAAAAAATTAAATTTATATAATTTAATTTTTATAACTTAACTATTTTGAAATTGATTAATTTTATATATGAATATACATCAATTATGATTCTCATCTTTCTCTTCTCTTAGATAATAAAACTACTTACTCAGGAGAAATAAGATCTGATTCTGTTTCATACAATTCAGGTAATCTTTCCAAACCTAATACTTCTCTGCGCATTCTATCAATATCATGTTTTAATGGTTGATAATTACTATTATGTATAAGTTTAGCAGTTTCCCGTGATCTGTTCCTTGCTTTTTCTGCTTGGTGTATCACTGACTCCATCTGTAATAATACAATACATGTAATTATATTTAATGATTTATATATTTATCTTTTTTACAAATATTAAAAATTTCTACAATAATTGTTTTTACCACATTGATGTCTGCATGTATTTGACGTAATTCTTCAACATGTGCCATTTTTTCTTGCATAAGTAGATCCATTTCTTGTTTATATTCTAATAAACATTTCTCCTCTTGTTCAGTTTGTTCTACCTCTTGCAATATTCTTTGTTTCAGTTTTTCTAATTGTACAGTTTTAGCTCTAAAAATAATGACAATAATTATCTTTGTATAAATAATAAGTAATAAGAAAATTAATAAAAACTTTTTCTATTAGTATTAATGCTCTTATTTATTTCCTTATTTGATTGTTATATGATTAAAAAATATGAAAAATACAAATATATAAAAGTTCAAACCTGATTTCTTTTAAAGCCTCCAATTTTGCAAAAATAACTGTAGTCTCAGTAGCTGACATTGTACAATTGAACCAGGAGTTCTTATTTATTATGGGCGTTCACGGATTTACACTAATGCCTCCTTGTCAAAAATAATATATATAAGAACAGATTATAAAAAACTGATTCAGGACACACAACAGTATTTTGATTTTATAATAAATTATATTCAATCATGTACAAACTATATCTTAAATGCAATCTAACATAATTACTACTGCATATACAATATTGAACAATATACAAATAAAAAAGAATTCTTTCAAGCAAAGATCGGCTTCATGTTGTTTATAGCTTATTACAGTTTACTAGTGATTTAAACGTTCAGATGGCACTGTAGTACAAAATAACGCTTATTATGCTCAAATTATTCAAAAAAAAGAAGGACCAATCAGGTATATGTATTTCTACATATTAAACGAAAGGATTGGTTGTTCCTTTATTGTAACTTTATGAAGATTCCAAAATAATAAAAAAATTTTATGTAAATGCAGAGTATAGTTAAATTCGAATAAAAATTAAAAACTGAACATTATCGATATTTATCTATTTATCTTTTCTTTTACCGTAATTATTTATGTAAATTATTTTTTTACTAATGATTGCATTTACAAAAAGAACATCAAATGAGTTCGATGTACTTTTAACCTTTTCAACTAATGTTTTTGGTCTACAAAGAATCATATTTGATATATATAGTAGTAAAATTGTTTCGTGTATTATATATTGAAATTGCAAAGAGACACTAAATTTCAGAAGCTGTGAAGCATATAGTTGCTTCTCAGCATTTTATGATAGTTGGTTGAAAACCATATATATATACAGTATTATTAAAACAGTAACGAAAGAAAATTATCTGTGAAAAATGGTTGTAACGGAGAAAGTTAAGTTTCCCGATGATTCTGAGTTAACTGTTCAAGAAATAAATGTCACTTATCCCGTGTTACAAGCTGCTTCTTTTTATGTAGGAAAGAAGTGCGAGTGGCAAAGTAATGTAAGTAATTTTTTATTATTTATATATACTTAAAATATGTTAGAAGTTATGTAACATTCGTACTGTTTATTAAATAACCTTTCAAAATATGTTGTCTTTAGAAAAGTGAACATAGAAAAAAAAATAGAAATTAAAAATAAAACTTTTATTTAATGAAATTTGAAGAACATTTTAAAACTTTATTCTTATTAAAAATTATTTTTTTTTTTTTTATAGGAATTTATGTTATGTAAAAAAGAAGAAAAAGATGCACGACGTTGTATAAATGAAGGTAAAGCTCTAACAGCTTGTGCTCTGGACTTTTTTAAGCAATTAAAAAAACATTGCAGAGAAGATTTCGAACAATATGTGACTTGTTTAGAAAGATCATCAGGAACTATAGAACTCAGCAAGTAAGATCATTTCTAAATTATGAATATAAAGCATAATTTAAAATAATATTTATATCATAGATGTCGAAAAACTCAAGCAATTGTGGACAAATGTGTGCTGGATAATCTCAAAATTGAACGACCTCCTTTTGGATACTTTTGTGAAACTAAGATACACGATTCTTCAAGGCCACGACCTAAACCTGATATTGCAGAATTCCCAGATGCACTTCCAGAACTTCCAAAGGAAAAACCTGAAGTTCCTGGTAAATTTGGTAATCGAAATTTCTTTAACTAAATTGCTTATTTAATAAAGTTAGCATTTATAGAAGTTGTATAAAACCTATTTAGCATTATATGACGACATCATAATAATATTTAATTGTTGTCTATATATTGCAAATGGAAATTTTAATAGACAAATAAATTTCATTCAATAAAAGTGTAAGATTCATTCAGTATATAAAAAAAATAAAACATATTATTTAAAAAATAAACTTATTTAAATATTAAACTTATTTATAGAAAAGTAAATTTCAACTATAAACATAAACGTAATAATTAAAAAAATTATTTTATACATTATACTTTTCATTATTAAAAGAAATTATAAAAAATCCTTATAAAGATTCTTAATAGATTAACATCAATAATAGGAATTTTAATCAACTTAAGCAGTACTAGTTTTCTCAGTATCTCATCTTTTGATCTTGTAAGTAATATAAGCAATTGTTATAAAAAATATATATTAAAGGGAACACCACCTGTACTTTATTGTAAATGGAAAAAAAATTCTGTTGACCTGTACACAAGGCAAAATGCATAAAACTTGCCGATAAAAAGAGTACGCACGGAATTGATATTTAAGATACAATACATTTGTATTTACAGTGTACATATAATTATAGTTAATTAATTTATATATGTACATATAAACGGTGGGTATGACGTTTGAGGCACTCAGCATTTCTCTCTAAATTCAACTAGTTCATCATAAAGCATCATGAAAGTAACAGTTTCAGACTTCATAAGAGAAACGATGTGCACACATTGGAAGCTCTGCTCTTGCTGTTTATTTAATAAGTATTTGGTATTATAGACTTAATCCCTTGTGACTCATATGTTCATTCAGTCTATCAATGACAAGGATAGATCCTTATGATATTTGCAGAATCTACAAATCATAATGATACATTATGTGTTAGCTCCATGTAATATCATAACCACTCCAATTTGTAGCTGGTGCCAAATGAACTCTTCTACCATTGTAGAAGAATGTAACAACACCTCGATATCCAGTTCTTGGTACACCACTCTAAAATATTGATAATAATTTTAAATTTTAACGTAATTTTGGCAATAATTTGTCACATAGTTTTTATTACCTTAAAATCATCCATTAAACCAAGCATTTTTGCAGTATTTTTATATGACAAACGTGTATAATATAATATTCTAACAGGACCTGGTATAATTATATGTCCACTTTTTAATTCAGAATAAGTAATCACTGTAGAGTGGTGTACTTCATTCGTAAAAGATACATCATAATTATCCTGGAAAACACAAGAATATTATCAAATTTTACAAAAGTGATCCTAAGAATTATGTTTATATATATATATAAGAGAGAGAGAGAGAGAGAAAAAAATAAGAGAAACATATTCAATATTTATATAAAAGACACAACAGTCCTTTTATAATAAATTATTTCTTACTTTCAGCAAGTAGGTTAAATTCATCTTGGTAAAAGGCACAGATTTTTCGTTCAGCTTGATAAATTTCAAATGTTTTTCAAAGAATAATCCACTATAAAATAAAACAATGTACAATTAAAACATTTAAAAATGTTGATATATAATATAACGTTATTATAGAATAATAATTGCTATTTTTGAATGGAGTGAAAAACATTTAACATACTTGCTAACTCCAATTTTTCCAAAAGTTCTTGTTCTCGATATTTCTGGTCGAATACAGGCTCTATTTTTTCTCTGTTCTGGTTGTCTTATCCAATCATCCCAATACCTGTAATATAAATAAAATGTACTTCACAAAAACAATTCTAGAATTTACATTAGTGAAGATACATCTAATCTAATTTAATACTTTTTTTAATTTCTTATTTATACATTATGTATTTGAAAAAAAACTCTTATTTTCTATTTATATAGAAATTAAACAGTTTCAAAAAAAAATTTACTGATAATGAGCTCTAACAATAAGCATATTTTGCTTACGATTTGGGCCATTTAGGTGCAAGCTCTTGCCATAACTGGCGTGTCAACATCCAGCCTAAACCAGGAAAAAAATCTGTCCTATATAGTAAATGTGGTGCATGCTCATCCACCAGACCAGATTTACCATTATCGTTCCATGCCGAAACACACCACAAGGAACGATCAGACACTAGCAGAGGATAAGTACCCAGAAAGTACTCAAAAAAATCAGGAGCTATGTCCAAATCGTCTAAACATATGTTTATAATAATTAAAAAATCACATTTCTTCTTTATGTATAAAAATATTAACTAAAAATACCTTCAACTACAATTGCTGTTTCATATCCAAGTTCAAAAAATACTTGATTTAGTGCCCATCCATAATGACGTGCAATTTTAAAGTATCCTTTAAATTTTTTTTCTTTAGGTGGAATGTCTATGTCTGATTGGTCAGGTTGCTGAAATAAATTATATGTCAACTATATAATATCTCCATAATAAAATATTTTTGCATAAGACTGTGATAAAAATTATAGAGCAGTACCCGAATGTGCAGTATTTTATCTCCATATTTAGAAATAACTTCTGCAGTTTGCTCATGTTCACAATCTTGCGACACAACAATTGGAAACTGCACTGCACTAGGTCTTAAGTTTATTAATTGATCTAAGCATCTTTGAACAGTGATGCGATTGCATGAGAAAACTAATACAGCTATTATTGGATCTCCATTTGGTAAAGATTTTTTTGATTTCATTGTTTCCTCTGTCTGTAAAAAAATTAAATGTAGTAAATGTAGGAAACGAAATGTAATTGAATATGCTAATGTTAGACACTTAATATACTTAAATAAATATAAGAAGATCAAATATTTAATAAACAAAGTAAACTATCAATTACAATAAGGTGTCAAGATAAAAATCTATTACAAAGACCTTTGTAGATTGTTGAAAATCCTTAGAATCTGTCCATTTCTCTTTATAATCATTCTTTTCAAGCAGTTGTTGTTTAATATTACTTTCATGTTGTTCATTATTCTTTGGAATGGCTATTGTTGCACGAGTGATAATCAATTTCTCTATTAATTCTAAAAAAAGGAAAAAAGAAATAAATAAATTATATCCAAATTTAATGTAAAGCAACAATTAAACATTTAATTTAATATAAATATAGTTATGTTTTTCTATGTACTTACTTCTATGATGTTTATTTTCCTCAATATGTTGAAAAAATTCTTGGTTCACTGCAATTTGTTGCTTTACTCTTTGTTCCAATCTGCTAATTTGTTTTGAAAGTTTATTTTGCTATTGATAAATAATATTATTATTAATTTCATATAAATACAGTACTATATATTCTTATTTTTGATTATTGAGTTATTTTATTCATAAATAAATCAAGGATATGAAGTTAGTCTAAATTAATCTATTATTATCAGGTTTATGATAACACAGTTCTTATCAAATCAATTAAACAGATAATAAAATCTATATTCATTATTCTATATCATAATAATTCTGTATATTATATTTAAAAAATTGTTCAGTATTTTAAAATACATGAATGATTGAATTACAACAAATAATAAGTAAACTACCTTTTCTTGATCCCTGCCTGATGGTTGATCAAGAAATAAAAAATATGTAATCACACCCCATAAGACGAGAGATCCAAAAATAATACCAACTGACCTGTTCCGCATGACAGAACCAGAAATGTCACCTCAACTGTAATAAATATTTAACATACATTAAACAATTAAAAATTAATAAAAATAAATAACAAAAATTTGTTTAATATTATTTTTATTATCACTATTATAACTCCAATTTATTTCCAACTACTCCATATTTTTGTATATTTCATTTAATAATTACTAATAAGTTAATTAAAAGACAAACATAAAAGATATATTAAGCAGAATTATAGGTTACTTACCATTCTTTTACCGAAGGACTTTTCTACGATCCCTTAGGTAATCATGTATTAGTTGGATTGTACAAATGTAATCATATTTAGTATAGTGCATTGATAAGATTTTAAATTTAATTTTCTTATTTTATTTAGTTCTGACAAATCAGGAGTCAACGTATAAAATACAGTTAGATAGACTGGACACGACTGTCAACGTAATGTCACGCGTACCGATATCTTATACGCAATATAAAAAATATTTAGTGCGATTCTCGATCGATTATGTTACAATCGATATTGTCATTTCGAGTTCAAAATGTTTATCTATTGATATATCGACTTTGTAATCGACTTTTCAAATCCCTGGAATGTCCATGTGTATGTTGTAAATCTATCATTCTAAATATTTCTTAATATGTTCTATGTAAAATGTTCATATAAAATAATGTGAAGTACCATTTTCATTTGAGAAATTAATTATATAAAATAATAAATTTAATAGTGGTTAGTAATTATCTTGACATCGAGATTTTATTTGTAACATACAGTTCTTAATTTTTTATAAATTAATTTTTTAATTTTTCATAAAAACATAAACTTTAAATCACGATATCTTCAATGAAATAATATTATTTTCTCATTAAAATGATTTCAAAATTGTTATGTACCGATGTTCTTGCTATACGTCCTATAGATGATTATATATATGTAGGTTAGTGAACATTAAAAATTACTTTTAAAACAACTTGTTTTACGTTTTTTAAAAAATATTCTTGTATTTTACTTTATATAATTTTATAGGTATAGGATCCATTCTACATATTTTCAAAAAACATGAAATTTACGAATTAGAGTACAAATTGAATTTTAATTCACGTAATATTCATGGTATTCTTAAAGCATCTGATAATTATTTAATTGTATTTGGAGCTAAATGTTTGTGTATTTATGATATTGATAAAACAAACGATACAATACTGTAAGTATTTATATATTGTTTTCTTTCGCATATAAGATCTAATTTCTGTTTTTCAGACTAAAACAAACTTTTGATACAATTTGGTTCGATGATTGGATAATAACTGTTAAATGCTTGAATATTGATACACAAATATTTTTAATCATTTTATTTGCACATAATAATGTATATATATATGACGTTTCTAACAAAAAGTACCAATATATATGGTGCGAGGAAAAATGTATACTGTATCCTTAATGTTACGTATTAAGTAACATTAGAAATAAATATTACAC